TTCACCTGTCTGTATAATCTGCCTTTTTTAAACGTGTTACTTCAGACATTTTCTAGAAAGTTTGTCAAGACAATCAGTCCACAGCGATTGAGCTCAGCCTTCAGAAGTTATCATGTTGACTGTTGAAGTTCTACAGGTAGATTGTAAGGGGCCAGCTGACTCACCAGATCCAACTGATGCCCCCAAACTTCAGAAACATCTGGCATTTTAATACCTGACAGTTCGACATATCTGCATTGTTAGTTCCCAAATATGAATTTGTACCAAAAATAATACATCTATTTTTTTTTCTAATGGAGTTGTTTGTAGAAATAGAGATTTTTATTTCAGAAGAGCTTTTATCTTTAGGCATAGGACACACTATCTGTGAAGCACTTAATCTTGCACAATATTCATGTTTTTGTATCGGCATTCCAGTACACCTCCTTAACATCTGCCTGATGCATTCATGCCACTACACTCGCTCTGTTAATTGTGGTTTCTCTTCCGTGACCCCTTGGAGTGGAACTGTGTAAAGAACTTTGCCAGAGGAATGAAATTTTCAGAATACATTGCCATAAGAACAACAGCAGTGTCACAGTGTTCGCTAGGGAAAGGAATTTTGATTCCAGTTTAGAGAGGCGTGTGACTCTGACATGGTGACCTTTGGCGTTCTAGTAACTCAACTGACTGCCTGGCATCGCTACTTTATCACTGCTTTGTGCACTTCTAATGTCACCAGATTTCTGTTCAGAGTGTTTTTACCCTGAACAGTAAAAACTGCCCTCCCGCCGGGTGCGTTTCTGGTTTTAATTAGGTTTTAATACCTCGTCGTCTGATCTTATCAAGCCTCAGAAGCTAAAGAAGTCTGGATCTCCTCAGTGCTGGGATGGGAGGTTTGAACCAGGCTGCGGCTGTCAGAAGTGTTGGCAGACCAGTAGGGGGCGCCCTGCTTCGTGTACCACAATTTCTAGAGCAGTGCCCCAGTATGATGATCCGGTATCACTGTGCTTTAGGCAGTGCTGTCTTTTGGGTGAGGTATTAAATTGAGGTCCTGCCAGCTTGGGTCATTAAACATCACGCAGGGGTAGGAGTGTTCACCCCAGTCTTCTGGTTAATTTCCACTGTGCACCTGTAGTATTCCTGAAGACTGAACTGCTGGGTTACAAACCCTGAATAAATGAGAATTCAAATGAGGATATTTTTGATCTGTAAGTAAGGTTTTAAAATGATTAAAACACTGTGGCTGTTCAAAATATTTTACTCATGTGAACTTGACGTGATTGAACTTTTCTTTGCAGTTATTTCTTACTGGCTTTCATTTATCACCCGAAGGCATACCGTGTTATTATAATCCACACAGCACTTCACAGAGTCAGCTGTGATATAGGGCTGCTTTTTAATGGAGACGGATGGGCTCGTCTTGGAAGTGTGACAGTAAGCATGTTATAAAATGTCATGCGACTGTGTGATTAAGCACGTGGGCAGCTCTGAGAACGATTATTGAACATGTCCATTTACAGTATAACTTGGTTGAAAATGGCTGCAATGCAGGCTGGGATTCCATTCACCAGTCAGACATTTTTCTCAACAAAAAATTGAATCTGTAAAGAAAAAGCGTGTATTTAAAAGTGCTTGAAATTGGGCTCTTTTTTCTTAGAGCTACTGTAGCTGCTGTACCTCAGCCTTCCCCAGCTGAGCACGCTGTTGGTTCTGCAAGCATGGTCAGGCTGTGATTTCAGCCCAGGTGTGTTGTTGAAGCCGACACTGTGGCAGGGTGAGGTTCTGGAATCCATTAGCTATGAACCACTAAATGGGCTGGATGGGCCACATGGCCTCCTCTTGTCTTACGATCTCATTATGTTGATAATCCACTTCAGCATGATGTGGTTAGCAGAGCTGAGCCCCCTGTGAATCTTCCCCACACTATCCTGTCTTCCTGTGGGACAGTAAGAACAGCTCTGTCCCCTCTTCTCATTCTCCACCCTCTCTCTCTGTCCACTGCCTGTCCCTGATGACCCTCCCTGGACACTGACCGTCTCTCCCCTGCTCTTCATCGGTCATCTGTCTGCCCTGGTCTCTCCTCACCCTCCTCTCTCTCTCTGCAAATGCATGTGTAGGCTGAGACAATGGCTCATCTCTCCATCTTGTCCTCCTATTTTAAAATGCTTGTTGCTCCAAAGAGCATGTTTGTATTAACTGCTGACAGCAGTACTGTGCCTTCTTGTCATTTTCTTGTTTCTTTCTTTCCTTTATTTCCCTTAACATGCATATCAACTGTCTAAACCCCCAAACACAACATCAGCTTTTGTATTTCTGGGCTCTCAAGTCATCTTTTGCCCTGCGTGTGCATCTTCCTTTAGAAGCAGAACTAATGAGGAAAAAATCCTCCACAATCTGCTGTTTTTCTCCCTAGCAAACACTTTGTATAATTAAATAGAAAACATGTCCTGCATTTTCTAAACTATTCCTTCATTGAACTCCTATAGATTGTCAAGGTAAATCCTCGTACTTTAGGACAAATATTCACAGTCTCATGAAAAGAAATCGGAGCTATTAAAAACGTTTTCTTTCCCCATGAGTGTGAAGATCAGGGCAAGTTCTTAGCTTGTTTCTGACACATGAGGTTTTGCGGATTCCTTAGTGTTTCAAATTCCTTGATTGCTTCCTGTAGTGCCAGCTGTGACTTCTGAACTTTAACTGCCCATTTCCATTCAGTGTATTACCTCTGTTTGCTGCTGTGATTTATTTGCTCCTACTGCAGCTAAGTGCTGTCTGTATTGAGGAGCAGAAAATAGGCAATTCTCCTTTTACATATTGAACTTCACCTTTCAGTTTATAAGAAGTTTATTGGCCAAATACCATTGGTGAGGAAATCCCTGCTGTGGGATTACTCATGAGTGACTGCAGGCTCCCTTCCCAGGCTGGCTCTAGCCCACTGCGCACATAGATCACTTTATTGGCCATATATACATATATAATTGTAATGACAGATGACTTACAGTATTGCTAAAGCTGTATTAGGCTGTGTGCGTTGAGGCATTTCTGTGTGCGTTGAGTCAAGGTATATTTTGTTAAAATATATAGTATAATGCACCAGTAATGCATAATTTAGAATATGGTGTTCAGTTTCGGTCACCACATTATTGAAAGGATATTGCTGTTCTGAAATCAATCCAGAGAACAACCAGACACATTTCAGAGAATAAAGGAGTGAACTACACCGACAGGCTGAAGGAAGTTAAGATAGGATAAGATGACTTTATTGGCCATATACAATTTCTTGCATTAGGAATTTGTCTTTTCGCAGACCCCAGCTTGCTCTTCATGAGACACACAGACAGGGAGAGAAGCTGGGGGTCAGAGTGCAGGATCAGCCATTTATACAGCACCCCTGGAGCAGGTGGGGTGAAGGGCCTTGCTCAGGGGCCCAACGGAGTAGGATTCCTCTTCTGGCTGTGGGATTTAAACCGGCAACCTTCCAGCCACAGGCGCAGATCCTGAGCCACAGAGCCACAGCTGCCCCAGCCCTGTTTGGAGCAGGGTGGTTTTGGAAACTGCTCCGATTCGGTACCTCTAGTAAAGACCACACGTCACCAAAAGTTGCAGCCAGACTTGTAAGCTTTTCCATTGAAGATTTTGAAAGTAGGGGCTGCTTATGCAGAGGAAATCTATTTTATTCAGCCCAATGTTTTAAGGATGGCTCAGTGGTTTCCAGGCCTGATGTTATCCAGCAGTCTTCCATGTTGTGCAAAACAAACATGCACAGAGTAACTCCTGACCTCGTTGAGAAATGGAGCTGCAGTGTCTTTTGACCCTGTGGAACCAGATACACGGGGAAATCTGTTTCTTTCTAATCTGTAGCTTGATGTTTAACTGCCCTTGTTGTACTGCATTATCTATTTAGAGGAATTGTTTTAAAAATAAACTGGAAAAAAATGAAGAGGCCAAGCAGCTGGGTAGGTGTGGAAGTGAGGGCTGAGTTTCTTCTCATGGGGCCCCTGCTCTCCTGGGGACCAGGTGAGGAGTTGATGGACAAGGGGTTAAGAGCTATTCTCGTGTGGAACAGCACCTCTTCACTGTAGCTTCAGAAGCAGGTGATCTCAGCAGGAGTGCAACACTGGAACCACTGAGAAATGTTCACATCCGAGTTTTCATTTCCGAGGGGCAGTGTCTTGTTTGTCTTGTGACTGCCTTGAGGGAAACGGTGTCAGGAAAGCTGAGTGCTTCTCCGTCTCCCAGTGCCGGTGTGGTCTATTTCCACCTCGCTCTCGGAGGGCTGGATTCCTGCCTGAGCACACTGTGCCTCGGCCGTGTGGGGAGACACGCAGCTCCGCAGCCCGCGTGCGAGTGGTGCCGATCGGCAAGCGCGTTATAGAGGTGCGATTCTGATGGCTGCCCCGTTTCCTTTTAACCACGGCATGATGAAATGTAGCTCTTGCTCTGGCCCTGTCGGCTGCGATCATTCTGTAGAGAGCTGCAAAGATTTATTTCTGTAAGAGGAGGCTTTGAAGCCCGAGCAGGCGGGCACGAGGTTCTCTCTCTGGGTACACGTGACGTGAGCGAAGCCTGCAGCAGTCAGAAGCTCTGCCTTTCTTTTTCTTGCGTGTCGGCTGGTGCCGATGGAAAGAGAGCCGATACCCAAGGTAAAACATTACAGAGGAGCTCTTAGTCATAGTCGTAGTCTACTGAGGATCCGGAATCGGGAGCGAGGAGGCTGCTTGATGAGACGTGATGGTCACTGCCTTCCTTCTCTTTACCAGACGAGAGACGAAGGCAGCAAACGCACTGCACAGACCATGGGGAAGAGACCCCTCCTGCTGGCCTTGCGGTGCTCTTAATTGAGGCTGCGGTTTGTGGGCCCAGGAAGGCCGTTCCAGCGCGGGGGAGGGTGTCCGTGGTGATCACAGGAGGCCCCAGGCCTGCTCACTAGATCCCCATGGAGGAGCGGGACGAGGCCTGACCGTCCTGCCCCTTGAGCGCCAGAGCCATGAAGCTGTGATGTTCAGAGTTAGAAAGTCTTGTGGCTGTTGTACCTGCCTGCGACTTCATTCTCTTTTACTCTGGGGAAAATCTGTTCTTGTGTTTAAATTTCCTGGAGGAAAATGTCAGCTAAGATTCCATTTAGCTTCTTTTTAGACTTTTTCACAACATTAAAATACGCAGGCTCATTAAGAGACGACCATATAAAGCCGAATTTCTTTTCAGATTTCTTTTTAAAAGTGTTTTTAAAAGAAAGGAGCCGTGTCCGCAGCTCAGAATTGTACTGGACAGTGCAGGTGCACCCTGCCCGAGCCTCCAGCAGGACCGCACCTGGGATTCGAACCCACAGCCTTCCAGCTGCAAGCGCAGAGCCCAGAGCACTGCTCCACACTGATGCCTGGAGGTTCATTGATTATAAATACTGATGCATATCATTATGTGGGTTCATTAGTAAATAATGTACAAGTACTGCATCTTATTTGACAATTTAAAGTTTGCACCTGGAAATTTTCTAGTAGGATTTTTCTTAATCTGGGTGCCCCCTTGTAACATATTATGACTTGGCTCCCATGGAGAGAAATAATCAATTCCTAAATGTGATTGTACAGTTTGATCAGTTTAGTACCTTTATTGAATTTTTGTTTTTGCGCAGGAGTTACATTGTATTTCTATTTTATATTTGCTTTGCCTTGTTGTAACTTTATTGGACTATGCTTTGTCCATTTTATTTTATTTTGGGCTTGCACTTTAATATTAACACTGCAGTTTGACTCGGATCAGGGCTTCTGCTGCTGGAATAATCACACATTGATCAAAGATCGTGTTAATAAAAACGGTGAGTTGCGAGAAGTGAACCGAGCTGTTTCTGGAAGCGCCCTGCACTGTTCACTGAATTCTCTGAAATGTATAATAGAGCCAAAGAAAGGAGGAGAACAATAAATCGAGAACTGAGAAACTGAATTGAGCGATTGAAAATAACATTTTCCTGGGTTTTGTTCTCCATATGTTTCAACCTAATGCTGGAAAAGATGTTTTAAAGAAGAGTTAGAGGATTCCAGGGAGAACAGTGTGGGAATAAGGACCAGTGGTACTGGCTCGGTTTCCTTTGTGCTCGGGGTGTGGTTCTGTCCCAGTGTGGGAATGGGGACCGGTGGTACTGGCTCTGTTTCCTTTGTGCACGGGGTGTGGTTCTGTCCCATTGTGGGAATGGGGACCAGTGGTACTGGCTCGGTTTCCTTCGTGCTCGGGG